ATTAAATAAAATTATAATTGATTGTGATATATAATAGATATTTAGATACACACGCTGTGTATACGTGCACTTCACGTATACTCTTACGAGAGGAAAAAAATCAACCTATCGATACGTGTAATAGTTGAAAAGTGATCATTAATATCAGTCTCTGTTAACAAGTGATAATAATACAAAAGTAAGTGTATGCGTTTCTTTCACATGAAAATCACATAATATATTTTTTCGAAAAACTTACTATTCTCATTATTATTGTTTTATTCACATTTCCTATTCTTTTTTAGTTTGTGTTCAATGCTACTTCTACTATTGTTCATAATGAAAACTATATTCATGTGTTTGATTGTCACGATACGGATGGTGCATCTGGTTCATGTTTGCATTGACCCTATACATATTCAAATTATGTCTGCTCATTATGGGCGGTGATTATATACATATTTCATGAAAATCTTTATCTTGGAAATTCTACTCTTTATAAATGTCGAGGCATAACTAAATTGTTGACTGTTATTCAAGAAAAATGAATTTGTCAACAAATTCATGATTATGTAAAATAATATCATGTTAATTATCAAACAAAGATTAATTAGTCTAAACTATATCTAGTAGTAATGCATACACACCCAATTACTATATCGAATCAGTCGATTTTTGAAAAGCAAGAGTTGATAATAGCAGATTGAGCAGGTCTTCTCCATCAAGCGATATCACGACCTGTTGTTTTTTCGATTTATTTTGTATTTACCGATAGAGTTTCATCACAAGAGCCATTTATGAAATTCAAATATCTCTGAATTTTGTCGAGTGATCCATACGGATATAATCCCGAGCATCATTATATTGAATTTATTCTTGTACTAAAAGATGCGCTGTATAATACAAGTGCTGCATTTGCACATATAGTTGGACGATAGAAAAAAAGGTGACTGTGTTTTTTTCCACAATGAGTACATTGACCTATCCGACGATTTTTGCATCATCATTCGCTTTATGCATCAATGATCACTGCAATATTTAATAGAACGAAAGTTTATGCTCGTATATATCTCATGCATACGTTATATTTTATTAGTATTTCGACAGGTGAGAAACAATTATACAATACACCCTCATTTTTCAACTCATCTAACAGTTCGCCAGAGAAATACAACTCATGATCATATAATGTTAGTTTCAACATTAAATTTTTGTCGGGTAAGTTCTTGCGAGGATAATCAACGATAGAACGTGACGTTAAATATTTTCTATCTCATTTAAACATTTTCATTTTCATTTTCGTATTTAGTAAGAAAATGTTAAAAACAAACGTCTTTGAATCGTTTCATGGCTATTATGATTCATGAAACGAGTCCACTTGGATATCTTCTGTAATTGATAATATTACACATTAAGTTCTGCTGAAATTCCAAGTTCTGCTGCTCAAAAAGAATTGTATACATTAGATATCTCTTGAAAAAATTAGTCGAAATAAATTTTCCTCCATATCACTGACATAAATTTCAGTTAATATTGTTGCTGAAATTGATTGTAGTCAGTTATACTCAAATTTTCCTATGTTAGTGACAGATTTCTGTGATTTTAATCGTTGAAAATCAACTGAAAAAAAAATCGAAATTTTCCTGATTAAAATTAATGAGATTTTATAGAAGTTTATTTGAATAAACTTTTAATAGGCCTATGTAAAAATTAATTTTAGGAGTCTGTTACTGTTGAGCTGAATAATTTGTGATAAATTCTCCAATTTTTCCATGCACGATAATCGATTGGTCGAGGAATATCGACAAAGGACGTCAGTTGATTAACCTTAATACTTTTTGCAAGCTCAATCATGACAGGAGCATGTTTGAACATATGTCTAAATGATTAGAAGTCATTCTATGTGGTCTCGTCTATGGATCGATATGGTTCTTACGCGTCTGAACTTAGGGTGTTGGTGGGTGGGTGTGCTAAGGAAAAGAAAACTTACAACCGCACACTCCCTTTCACACTTTTTTCTTAGTTCTCATTCTATTTTGAAAATCTTTTATCAAACAGTTACTCTTAACATTATCCTTCATCTGTCGAAATTAGTCTAACCGTACACATTTCAGTGTCGACTATGAATTTAGGACAGAATCGGGTTCAAGAAACTGTTAAGCTATAGTAAGCATGCCGATATCAATCGTAAGATAGATGTTAGGGCAAATGGATAGTTTCTCTATGAGGATTTCAGTATTAATAAGTCAAGTCTGGTCAATCTTAGAAATAAAAGCAGCTAACTACTCCATGTACCACTATAGTAAGGTACTGTTCACCAGTATTACTGGTTTTCTACTTTCGAAAATAGCTATTAGCTAAATGAGTCCTTTTCTCAGCCATCACTTCCTTTATCTATATTCAAGTGCAAAATTGAGTTTTGCAGCAGTTTGCAACAGTATAAGATATTGTATGCGTAACTAACTGATAGCGTTATCTAGTACATTTTTCAATAGTTTTCAACGTTTTTGAAGAAAAAAATAATTTCATTCATGGGCTTAGTCAGATAGTAAAACAATCTTATGACACAAACCGATGAATCGGAATACTGTGTTTAACATACCAACTTGAACTTAGGTTTAATCGATCACGAAAAAAATAATTGCATATTTAGTGAACATTATCAAATTTTAGTTACACAAATCTCATATAAGTAAATGACTTGATCTTTTTACTTCTCTCTCAGTCGAATGACACTATTTTCACATATCTATTGCGTTCGTTTATGTATATAGGTTGCATAGCGAATGCTAGACCTTTTTGTTCACGATATCGGATATGGAACAGATAATACATATATTAAATGAAAACTACAGCACGGTAAACAAGCAATGTCACTATTACCTGCTCAATTTTGTAACGATACCAATAATTTGATAGAATCTTTTAAATTATGTAATCAAAAATGTTGCCCTTAACTCTTTATCATTTTTGTTTTATACATACAAGTTGAACCTGGCACATCAATATAGTAGTTTTATTAGTATTGAATAAAATCAGTGCATAAGTGGCCCTCGTATCAATAGTATTTTCGTATTTAATACTAATACGAGTGACAATTGTCATTCTTTCCAACATACACATTTATTGTTTTCTCGATTGATTGAGTTTTAGCGCTATACAATATCCTCAATATAGATTTTCGAGCCCAATTTCTTTTTTTTTTACCATGACTACGACCTGAATTAATGCTCTTCCTTCTTCAAACACGTTGAAAACTGTTCTAGATAACGCTATCAGTTAGTTGCCTATACAATATCTTACACTGTTGCAAACTGCTGCAAAACTCAATTTTGCACTTGAATATAGATAAAGGAAGTGATGGCTGAGAAAAGGACTCATTTAGCTAATAGCTATTTTCGAAAGTAGAAAACCAGTATTACTGGTCACTAGTATACAGGGGTGGCCAGTATACTGGTGCTGGTGCATCCCTAAGTTCACATTCAATACGATACGTAGTAATGTTTCTTACCGAAGAAGGACGGGAAAAAAATAGCAGAATTCATTTTAGATTTTATTAACACACGTTTTAAGTTTCAGATCATTATTTTTATTTGCAATCTGACATGCTTGATGAAGGGAGCGACGAGGACTTGAGCGAACATCTGCCTTACAGGCGTCCGAGATTTCGAATGCAATCATTTATTGATGAGTATGGAGTAGTTCCACCACGCAAGTCACCAGTGCGTCGTCTAAGAGATTATGCAAAAAATTATTGGCACAATTTGAACTCAGTTGGCGTTGCCAACTCGTTTCTCGAGTCAATACCACTTATCCGTTGTCTCAGAGAGTATAAAATACGCAAGTATCTGCTTGGTGATATTCTGGCAGGCATAACGGTGGCTATCATGCATATTCCTCAAGGTAAGGGTCACGGACGTGTTCCACGAAAGCTACTTTATTTTTGTCGAAAACGTCATTTTTTCTGAGAGAAACAAAGAATACTCATTAAAGGAGACATCTAGAGCATTTTAAAATGTATTGACTGAGCCTATTAGACATTTTATATCAAAATGCTCATTCGATCAAAAATTCATCGGTATGATCAAATATAAAATGAATGTTTAGAAAATTTTCTAATATTTCAAAATATGAAAATTCCTTATGACTACGTCTCCATGCAGAAACTTTACAGGTTTCCTCATACCAAATTCTCGGCACTTTGATGAGTCGAAAGTGGATGCTCGATCGAATTCAGTATTGGGCGGTGAGAATTCGATCGTTTTTGATGGGGCTCGAAATCGAAATTGAAACAGAATAAATAAAATATATATATATCAAATTTTCAACGGCTTATGTCATATTTTTGAAAGCGTCAAATTTTTCTCGTATTAAGTTCACTTTGGCGTAAAACATGTTTTTAAAAATTAACAAAGCCATAGTTCTCTAACTTTTGCAGTTAGGGGATAGCAAATAAAAAAGTAATCCTATCGAGGCGGGTGAATAATTTTGGCAGTTTCTGTATGTTTACATTCAGACAAAAGAATCTTCAATGAAAACGGAAGTCTTATGCACACATTTTCTTGTCAGTAAAAACACTACTAATTGTTGTTTATTATAATGGTAGGCATCGCTTATGGTGTTCTGGCCGGTTTGTCAGCGTTTGATGGTAAAGTATAATCAATAAAAGAAAAAGTGAATATTAATTTGAAAAACAAATTTTTTTTTCTAGGTCTGTACGTTTCCTTTTTTCCTGTCATTATCTACATGATTTTCGGTACATGTCCGCATTTATCAATCGGTTAGTTCTCTCGTTTGAACAAATTCTGTGGGCGAATTTCTATCTTTTCTCTGATTAAGGTACATTTGCTATCATATCATTGTTGACGGCAAAAGCGATCAATGGGGTCTCATTGCCACCGTTGAACTCGACCATTAATGATTCAATTATAGAATCAAATTTTTCGTATATATCTAACGTGTCAAGTGATGCACTTATCAATGAAAAACTGGGCGTCGCTACTACGCTCGCCTTTGTTGTTGGGCTCATTCAGGTGCGTAACAGAACTTTTATGAAATACAAATTGAGCAAGTATTCTTTTCAGCTCATACTATGGCTTTTTCGACTTGGCTTTATCACGACTTATATGACGGAACCTTTTATAAGTGGCCTGAATGTGGGAGCTGCTGTACAGGTTTTTTCCAGTCAAATTCCAGGCGCTTTTGGCGTTCCGAGTCCGAACGATATACAAGGCCTTTTTAAGTTGCCCAGATTCTATGTTCGAGTTATCGGTTCGATTGTTAAAAGCATTAACTGGATTTCAACTGCGATAACAGTCACATCGATTATTATCTTGCTTGTCGTAAAAGCATTGAATGATCGGTACAAGAAGAAAATACGTTTCACAATTCCAACTGAACTCTTTTTGGTAAGTTCACATGAACATTTAAATTCATTTAAAATAACTTTTCATTCTGCGGATTGAAAAATGAAGGTCATTTTTGGTACGTTGATATCATATTTGGCGAAACTTCATGATCAGCATGGTGTTGCGATTGTTGGAACTGTTAAACGTGGTCTACCTGCACCAACTGCCCCAGCTTTTACTAATGTTTCTTCTTTGCTGGTACCCGCTATTACGATTACTATTGTGAGTCTATGCCTCAATATTTCTGTGGCTAAAATGTTTGCTCGAAAATATGACTACAAAGTACGCTCAAACCAGGTACGATTGATTGTTCTATCTGATGCATTTATAGAAATCGCATACCTACCAGTAATAGGATAGCGTAAAAAGCGCTTGTAGAAACTACAGCTAATATTCTTGAACGCCGAGTTACTACTTGTATGCAGCTAAGCTACTGGCTAGCCACAATCATGAACTTCCATTATATCATTTCATTGTAGCTAATCATATCGGGCATTAAAAATTATCAAGAATATTATATTCATTTCTTGACATAGTGAAAAAGACGCAGATCGAATCTTCTCGACTAAAACAATAAAACTCACGCAACTTTTCATAGACTTGTAAAAATATGTAAATATTCAGTATCTGAGATTGCGAAATCAAAAATAATATGATACTTGCGAATACAAGTTAATTTAATCAAAATCAGACCATCTTTCCAGCATTTACTGCTTTCAGATGCACCAACAGATTTTGATTCGCAGGGATACTCGTACACCAAATAAATTACGCGCTCTTTTCTATTTTCCATATTAGGAATTACTTGCTTATGGATTGGGAAACGTTGTTTCATCCTTCTTTCAATGCTATCCAAGTTCGGGCTCACTGAGCCGGTCAATGGTACAAGGAGAGAGTGGTGGCACAACATCACTGATCGGTGGCTTCTCTTCTGTTATTTTAGTTGTCGTCATTCTAGCTTTGGCACCTCTTCTCAAATCTCTTCCTATGGCGTGCCTAGCCGGCATCATCATTGTCAATCTCAAAGGACTCCTTCTTAAAGTCAGCGACTTTATGTATTACTATCGTATTAATATGATGGAAGCTGTAAGTCGACTGAGCAATAGAATAGTTAATATATCTTCATAATAAAAACATCTTCTTTAATAACACAGATCCTGTGGTTGGTAACATTTTTGACTGTCGTCTTATCCGATGTTGACATTGGAGTTTATGTAGGGATAGCTGTTTCGTTTCTCATGAACACGATTCGTACTCAACGGTAATCTCATTTGTCGTATTTAAGTGTCGAAGTCATTAGTATTTTTCTAGGCCACGGTTCGTTGCTCTCGGACGAGTAGGTGATACTACATTCTACAAAAGTATAAAAGTGTTTCCATCTGTAAGTGATGCATTGGGTCCCTATAAAGATTTTTAATATCGAGTTAATAACTTTTTAATAGGCTGAACAACATGCCAATATCAAAGTTATTCGTTTCGATGGATCTCTCTATGCTTGCAATGCGCCTTTTTTTAAACGGAAATTCTATGAACTAATCGATATACGTCTGCGACAAAAGCCTCTCATTTCATTCAGAATACCAGAAACAGTTGAGATTCAGGATAGTGCTGACAAATATGTCGTTCTTGACTGTTCACCTATGAACTTTATCGATAGTGTGGGCGTCAAGCTACTTATTGAGGTATGTACGACTTCCGAAGCACAAAAAGAGCAAACACTGATGTATGTTTCATTTACGCGATGCTCTTTAGATTTACAAAGATATGAAAAAACGAAACATTCATCTTTATCTAACCGAATGCCGTTGTAAGTTGATTGTTCATTTGAGATTTTTCATTGCTGACTTCTAATTTTATTGAAGATGATGTTCGTTACACGTTGGACTCGATGAAGTTTTATGAGCATACGGATGGTTGTATAATATACGTCTCAACTTCTGACGCAGTTACTGCTATTCTGGCTGAAATTCAAAATAGTAAGCATAAGGGTCAGGCCAACTGCGAATTATGTTTTAACTTTCTAGAGTCGATGGTAGAAACGATTTCGCAAACCGTCATCACACAATTCTGAATTTCTGACTAGGGATTTCATTTCTTCCTATCGTTTCACACGAATCAGAAAACAGCAATATATATATTTTATCAAGTATTCTACTCAATTGACACTAAACACTCAACTATGTAATTAAATATTTTTCATCTTCTTTTGTCTTAATAAATTTGAACTTCAGTTGTATTCTAGTTGTTACATGTAGGCTATTCAAGTTGAAAATGAGAGAATATACGAAAGCTAGTTTCTGTATTAGAAAAACAAAATGTTCGATCGGTGTTGGAAGTTACTTTACTGCCATCCGTACCCACAGGCTGGTCGCGGATAATTATTGGTTGGTAATCTCAAAGAGATTTTGAGCTAGATTGAAAATTTCAGGGGTCAAAATTTCGATGTACCTTCAAGATATTTGTCAAAACATTGCTAGGTAAACTGTACAGCAATATACATTAAATAGCTATGCGTTTAATTTAAAAATATCTCGTTTGAGAAGCTACATATATCATATCATCCTCGACTAGATCACGCGGTCTCGAGAGATTCATTTCTATCGGTCGTTTACCATTATTTGTTGTAATATGATCAAGCATCTTCTGAAATAGAATGTGATAGGTATGACACATGTTAAAATAGAGTTTGCAAAAGTAATATATATGCTTCTTTATTGGCTGCCTAAAAGAATAACTGCGTTATCGAAATTTTACTATGAAAATAAAAATCCAGAACTTAAATTGAGTACTATGATCTGATCGAAAATAAAATTGAAATTCCTTTGTTCTCACAATCAATGCTTTCCAAAAAAGATCCAAAATAAATAAGTAAAACTAGTGATATCATCATCGATTTTATTAAATCGAAAAAACTCATCAGCTTTCTTTGTATAGCAGTTGTCCATGCTATTCGTGTAGCTGTTGGGCGCTTTCATCTTGTACATTGGAAAGTTCATCAGAGAAAATATTTTTTTATTTATTATTCCTATCAATAAATGTATTCGTAGCTGTAACTTTCGCTTAAAGGTGGTGTCTCGGTCGCAAAACCATTTTTATAGTATTTCAATGTTTACGAAGCGATTTTGTTATTAGTCTTTTTTTCTTTTGCGAGTATTGTTCAAAGTGTGCTTCAAAATCAGCTCGTTTGAAACTAGTTTTCTTGCATTTCTGACATCGAACAAGAAAACAATCAAGCTTATTCAATAACAAGTCAGATGCCGTCTTCTTGAACATTTTTGTAGGATGGGCTTGGGAACAACATATCGACCATGAAATATTCTGTTTCATCCATGTATCGATGCAGATGATGAATTGAGAAAAAGGACAAGGCACGTTGGATTTTCTCTGCCAGTTTTTTGTTCGCCTGGGATGACTCAAATTTATAAAATAATTTATTTCTACAGAACCTAATTCGTAGAATAGTAAAATGTTCTTATATGCAAGGACTGAATTCATAATTGAAGCTAATATCAATAAAAACTAGGTGAATGAAAAATCAAGCTGCTTCATCTGCTGAGGAACGCCGCAATACTTGAATGCAATGAAATAACTTAGGATAAAATTTCCTAAACAGTAAAAATTAGGATATTTTTAAAATACGTGGCTCGAGTCATGACTCAGAGGATATGGTCATCATTTTGAATGTAGATATGAGGGGGAGAAAAAAGAAGTTTATTGATACGAGAATGCAAAAAAAGATAGAAAGAAAAAAAGAAAAAAGAAATTCGAACAGTAGAGCCGTTGATTCAGTCATGCGTTTAATGACAGAAAAGAAGAAAAAGAAAAACGAAATGTTAGTTATTATTTCTCTCCAATCAAATACTATACATCCGTATTTTTCGAGGGGTGTCCAAGGACTGAGGATTAGGGATTCCTCACCAGTTCCCCTGCAGTTCTTTGCATACTAAAGGTAAAAATATGGAATATTCATGATAATTTTTGTTTTTACACTCATTTTCACTTGCAAAATTGTGAAAATCAATGATTTCATGCAAAAGTTATTTTTAAAACAACAATATCGCGACTTTCGTGAATGGTGGAACTGTGAGGGAGCCTATAGTTGATTCCCATTTCCTGTAGGAATTATCACAGCGACACTGACAATTCTTCGGCACATTAAGAATTCCTATTTCTCAGTCCTTGGGCACTGCTGGTTAATTTCACTATTTTGTATTGTATTGTATTTATTTATTTATTTATTCGTTGTTGTGTCATTTATTCCTGTGCAATTACTCTATATACCCATTTGATTCTACTCTATTACGGTATGTATAATGCGTTTTTTATATGCATACTATTTTTCTTTTTATTCCCACATCTATTCGCTTATTCGTTCCTGACTGTACGTTTGCGTCAGTGAAATCCTTCACCCATGCTAAAATGAATCACCGAAAAGAAATACCTATAGTATTAAGTGTAAATAAAATCATTTTATACAGTTTTCAGATTTTTCTAAGCTTTTAGTAAATAGATAGAAAGAAATGAATTAAGTCTATTTGATGATCTGATAAATAATCAGATCAACGTACAAAAAGATCATTTGTGAAGCGAGGAGAATTCATTCAAGATATTCGTTTGTCACATTAATTGATTAACCGAAAAAGAAACGATTCAAATAGTAATGTCTGACATGCGAACAATTATATTTGTTATAACTGAAAGTCAAAAGTCAAACAAGAAGACATTTAGTAAAACAGCACGCTAGCTTGCATGATGATCAGATCACTCAAGTTCATTCCACAGTCACTTGCATATTGTAATTGCAGTAGAGTATATAAGTAACATCATCAATACCACATCGTGTGTGGTCACGTTAGTCAATTGATTGCAATCTGGTAGAAAGGCAAACTATTGTAATGACATACATCAAAGTATATATATAGATATCAACATTTATTAGCTTCTCATCTTGTTTGACATGTATGACAATATTGATATCAAGCCTCAAATAAAAACAGATGAACCTAAATTAGACTGTCGAAACTAATTGGTGGTTAAATAATAATAGAACCATATAAATGAATTGATCTTTTTGTTCGCCTCAATTCAATACTGTTGAGGGAGTATTAATGGCATCCACTCGCACGAATGAAATGGAGCTTGGAGCATTTGCTGATTAAGTACGTGATCTCACGCTACAAACGTTTATGATGGGCTCAAGCAAACATTATGTAAGATGTAAACGTTTTAAATCTCTTCCTTTGTTTCTATTGAAACAAAACAATTGGCACACGATAAACTGTAAGGTAGTGTCACACACAATTATTGCTGTTTTCTTTATAAAAAAAAAAAAAAACAACTTTTTAGCGAATGAACATATAGTTCATACTCAATATCTGTTGGTGTAATGTAGACAGACTCGTTTGAATATTTTTTTTTCTGCAAATTTAAAACTAATAAATGATGCAACTGATGTACATATGAAACAGAATATAAAATGAAGAGATCAGCAAAACAATTGAGCATTCACTTTTTATCGCCGTAGTTCAATTCTATAGGAAAATGTCAAGCTGTTTGAATTGCTTTGCGTAAGTGTGAATCTCAGTGAAATATTCTATCTTGCTGTTTGAGTGGCAATTTCATTCTTTACTGCCACAAACAATTACCGCAAATTAGACATCGGGTTCTTGTATTTAATCTAAACTTTGATGTAAATAGTCAACAGTACTTTGCGTAGTATAATGATTTTTTTCAAGAATAATATCAGAACCGTTTACTTTTTTCGTTCGTCTCAGGTTTATTGCGTTATGAAAATATTTATTCAATTGATTACGTTCTACATTAGTGATATTGGCAGAAAAATCTAATCCTTCTAAATACTTCTCAGAATTCATAAAAAGGTAAATTACGCGTATTATCGTAAGTTCATGTAAGCAACTCTGTATGTAAAACGAAAATGGTTTCATTTTCATCGTTGAATTCATTTTTAGTCTAAACTCATCTATGATTTTACTATTTGAAAATCAAGAATATCGAACACATTCAGATGACGTCGAATATGCAACCTTTTCATAATACTCAACAAGATTATATCTTGTTTACGCAATGGTCTAAAAATCATTGAATGAGTTGTAAAACATAACTTTTCAAATACACTTTACGGCAGAAGTTTATGATGATCAAGTTATTATTACTAAACAGAGTAGAAACTATATTTTATATTGCGACATTAATATAATTTCTTTTTCTATGTGAAATTCAACACATTCTGCAAAGTAATAAAGGCAAGAGAGAGAGCTTGATCCTGCGGGGTTTATTTAGCTCGATGGCATATTACATGTGCTGTGAATACCTTCAAGTTGAATGCTTCAGTCCGCATCCGTTATAATAATAAAAATGTCATATTTTACACTCGTCAGTTCAATGGCGGTACATTTAATTGATTCGTATGTTCATAAGTTGCAAAACGTAACCCTACGAAAAAGAAAAGTAAGAATGTCTATTATTTGAACGACATTTTAAAATAAATCATATATAATTAAATTTTGATAATTCTTACGGATACTGCGTAACGAGCTTGAATAAAGAAGAAAAAGGAAAGTATAAACTGTGTTTTTATGCTTTTTTGCGCTTGATTTTTTCTCGCTTTTTTTCTTATTCATATTGTGTCGACAACTTTATGCTATTCAATGAAAAGAAGAGATGAAAAAAAAAACGAGTACTCGTTAGTGTGACGTGTAGTCATAACGATAGAAAAGAAAGTGCAGCTTAGAAATAGTTCAATGTATTCTCTGTCATTTTAATTTTTTCTTTCTTTCAGGAGAAATGAGTCCCATTTGAAATTTATTGGTTCTTCTATTTGAAATCGTTCTCAATGTAGCTACACATGCACAGATGGCTTTTTGCGAATGCTATTATTCGGTGTGCTACTATGATTTCTTCGTCATCGATTTCAGTTGTGTATTTTTTCTACTAGATTTCTTTTTGCTTACCGCTTCATGCTTCTTTACTGCCAATGACATTCGGGCTGTTTTGATTAAAAACTTGTAGCTTCATGAGTTTATTTTTATTTTAGAAATGAATCAGAATAATATCATCTGACGAAAATTTTCTTTTCAAAGCTTACTGCTTAATCATGACACTAATCAATCCAATAAATCAATCGGTAAATAATCAAAACAATTTTCTTTTACAACTTAAACCTCATGAAATAAAGAAAAAGTAATCAACACAAAACTCGCACGATTTCGATTACCATAAGTTAATATGTTTTCGCTACTGAAAAAGATGTTGAAGAAAATTTTTCTCTTGAGATACTTTCGCAAACAAGAAAAACCTTCTATAAAGATTTCTCTAGAGATAAATTTCTGTCATTTTACTTTCAGACCACATCAAGTCGCATGAAAAGTATATTTATCACATTATGCATTTTACTATGTATTATTTCAATTTTTCTCTATTCAAATGCAACATTCAATTGGTTGTTTTTAAATAAAATTTTAGTTTCTAATTTAATACATATTTCACATGAATCAGAAAATATCACCGTAGTACCTTTAATAAATAAAACTGAGAATATTCCGCAAGAGAAAAAGATTTCACTGCCGCCAGCACAAAATCGTCGTTTCGCAATATTTGCATGTTCAATTCATGCGAATACATTCGCGTACACATTTTATACGCCAATAACCGCTGCCAGTTGGCAACGTATTGGTTATCAAGCAATCGTAGTGTTTGTTGGAGATTTTACTAAGCCAAATGTGATGACGCCTCGATTAAATTTATCGCGGAATTACTTAAAACATGTCGGTGCACATATTGTTGATGTACAATGTAACGAATCTTATTCAATCAAATTATCTCAATTAATACGAGTTTTTTCCGGGTTTTTACCAGATAGTATAGCGCAAGATGATGATAATATCTTAACCGGTGATAGTGATTTAATTCCATTGAAAGCAAGTGAATATCAGCCGAAAAATGGAACAGATGGTTATATCTTTAATGCGTTTTGTTGTGGACAATTTCAGCGACATGGAAAAACTTACACAATGTTTCCAAGTGAGTTATAAGAATTTATTATTATTATTATTGGTGACACATGATTGAATATCTTTCATATTCTCATCATCCAGTCGGATGATTAGCTACATAAACAATCCAATAGCCAATCTTTGCTTTCAAATTTAGCTAGTCGTCATAGTGAATTTTTCTTTTATTTTCATTCGAAGTAGAAGACACGATTAGAGGTGGATTTGTGTACTTTTGAATGCTTCTTTTATTTTCTTTTTTGAGTCATTTTCTTAGTGAATAAGGACATTTTGTCACACGTTCTAGTGATCAATTCATAGATCTAGAAAACAGCTTGGGTTTTGAGATACGAGTCAGACAACAAAAAAATCGATAATTAACAACAGAAACTTTTCTTATTTAGTGATGTGTAATTCAATTTTGACGTGATCCTTCACGTCAAAAGTGTCTAGCGTAGATCTACTTAATTGAAGGTCTTAATGCGTGACTTGAAATTATTCACCATGAATTCACAAACTCGACTACTAGTTTTGTATCCATCAATTTTTTCTTCTTCTTATAATGTGCCTAGAAATCTTTCTACCAAAAAAATATTGTTAAATAAATATTAATTTTTTGTTTTTCTTTAGTGGGTCATGTATTTTTGCAGAAGAAAGCATGGCGAGCTATAGTTATGGAATCTCAACAACGTGCTGAACTTCTCGTGAATGCTACTAACCAGACACAATATTTGTTAAGTGAAAAGGCTCCTCTCTCATTTGAAACTATCACTTTATATGGTCGACATGAATTTGGAAAGGTCTATGATCAACATATGGATAAAGGCGATTCTGCTTGGTATATGGATCAAATATTTTGTTCAATGTTATTAATTGATTATCGTTCTAAACATAAAAATTTTTCAGTACATGAAAGGGGTCGTGCTGATCGACTTGATCGTGCATTTCCAATGAGCTTTTGGAATAGAGATAATTTTAATCAATTTGGTGATGCACATTTAAAACATGATGAAATCTTACAAGAAGGTAATTGGCAAATATTTAATAAATTACTTAAAAGTCTATTTAATGGCACGCTCGTGACATTGTTTAATGATTATCATAGACAGTATATGATTATTGACAAAGTGGTAGCAACGCCAGCAACGCTAGTTAAGCCGTGAAAACTGATATCAATCAATTTCTTTTTCTTTCAACTTTATGTGATAGTGTGCTTCTTTGATTGATAAGATATGAACGTCAATGTAAGCATCGTTTTTGTTCCAAACAGAGTTCGCCTTTTTTTTTTACATCATTTTCAAGTAAGATATTCCGAGGGTTAGTTTTGCATCACAGAAGAAAAGATTTTTTCAAATTTATATATTCGACAATTGAGATTAGCCTAATAATAATAGATATTAGTCATTAACGACTCTGATCATTTCAAAAGAAACAATCAATTTTATTTTTAGTATCAAGTATTCACGCCTATAACAATGCAATCTACCAGTCTTTTGTTGTGTTGAGTTAGTATATGAGAGAATCGATCACTACAACATACTCATAAACTTCCCAGTTCCCATAGAGTTTTGTAGTATTGGCACATTCTCAAGAATTTGTTTGGAACAAAGACGAATTTATATCGTCAGATCAATAGGATATTATTTTGATCGATGTAGTCCTTAGTAATAAATTATTGCTTTGATATTTTTAATCTTTCTATCAGACGTAAAAATGTGTCGAAGTACCGTTGATTTCCACTAAATATGTCGATTTATGGTATTATGTACTGCTTTCTCTGCTTCTCCTCCTTTTTAAATGTAATATCATACAGACTCTCTTGATAAGTTTTATTATTTATTCATATTGTTGCGTTATAATAAAATAACTACTAAAACAAAAGTTGGCAGCTCGTTATTCATATGGCTTCTAGATGGCGATAGTGTACAAAAGCAAATTTATAATATTCTTCATTTCAACTTATAGAAAAAGTATTTACATCGAAATAATTACTACGTATATAAAAAGTGTTATGTAAAGTTGTGACTCACATTTATTATCGACTTCAACTGAGATTAATTATCCTATTCAAAAAACCTTTGTTTCTATTGTTAAATCTAACTTTGTTCGTACACTACTACAATCGATTACTTTTACTTGACTATATATCATTGTATATATACACATACGTTTCTTCTGCATGTTTAAGATCGTATAGTAAAAACAGAATGAATTACTTTTTGAAATATGTCGAAATCGATAATTTCAAATCATACAAAGGTCATATTGTAATCGGCCCATTACGAAAATTTACTGCTATTATAGGACCAAATGGATCTGGTTTGTTTTACAATTCATTTTTTTTTATTATCCTATTATTGATTTCCTTCCTGTAGGCAAATCCAATCTTATGGATGCGATTAGTTTTGTTCTTGGTGAACCAACAAAAAGTTTACGTGTGAGAAAATTATCCGTATGTATCTTTTGTTATCTAGTGAAACATCAATCGTTTCTTTTCGGAAATTATAAAGGAATTAATTCATGGTGCACCAATCAATAAACCCGTTAGTAATCGTGCATCAGTTGGATTAGTATTTGTTTCGATAACATCAAACGAAAGTGGTGATCGTAGTGAACATGAAAAACGTTTTCAACGTTTTATTATTGGTAATGCATCAGAATATCGTGTTGACGGACGTCAATTATCAGCAGCTGAATACAATGAAGAACTTGAAAATATGGGTATTATCCCTAAAGCAAAGAATTTTCTTATTTTTCAAGGACAAGTCGAATCCATTGCAATGAAAACACCAAAAGAATTTACTGCGATGTTTGAAGAATTAAGTCGTAGTGGTGAATTACGTGAAGAATATGAACAAGCGAAACAGGAGAAAAATAAAGCCGAACATGATACACATGCGAATTTTCAAAAGAAAAAAGGTGTAGAAAAACAAAAGAAAGAAGTTCGATTAGAAAAAGAAGTGGCTCAAAAATATGCGGCATTAAAAAGTCAATATGTAAGAAAATCCTAAGAAAAAGAATTTCAGTTTATTGTAAATTTTTCTTCAGGACGAACTTCAATTACAATTAAAATTATTTCAATTGTATCATAATAAACAAGAATTAATTGAAAAACGTGATATAGCCGAAAAGAAACGAGATGAAGTTATGAAATTAGAAAAACGAAAAGAAATATCCGATGACGAAATTAAAAATAAGAAAAAAGAGCTAGCGATTTGTAATAAAGAACTTGCAACAGATGAACAAAAAATTAAAGAACTAGTAAATAAAAACTTATTTTTTAAAGCAATAAATTTATACTTGATTGTTTTTTTTTGTTTTTCATAGGAAGCTCAAATTAATAAAAATCGCCCAACATATATTAAAGCAAAAGAAAATTCAGCTCATCATCAGAAAAAACTTGATCTAGCAAAGTAAAAAGAATTAATTATCTAATATATTTCTAAATGGAATAAACATATGAGAACGAGAATTCTATCGAAAATCTTTATTCAATTTTTTGCTCATAGAAAAACTCTGCTTGCTGCTGAAAAAACACATGCTGCTCATGGCGAAGAAGTAGAAAAATATGAAGCTGATTTACGTGAAGTTGAACGATACCAAAAAGAATATGAAGATAAATTACAGGATGAATCACAAAGTATTGGTCGTAATTTAGCACTTGAAGAAAATCAAGTAAAGAAAAAAAAAGGCATACTCATCGCTTGAAATAAATGCATTGATTTGGTTATTAGATGAAAGAATATCGACGTTTAAAAGAAGAGGCATCGCAATTAATGACACAATTTTCTGAAGAATATGATTCAGTTGATCGTCAACAGCAAGTCGATAGAACGAATCTTGAACAAGAACAACGAAGTCAACGAGATCATATGGCACGAATAAAACAAACTGAATCACGTATTGATGAATTGAATGGAAAAATTGATAAATTAGCCGGTTATATGGCGTAAACTAACGTGGAATTAGTTTTGAAAAAAATTAATAAATTTGTTTTTAGCGATCTTGAAAGAGAGCTTGGTGATAAACAAGCTAGTGCACAATTATTAGAACGAGAAGTAACCGATGGTCGAAGGCGCTGTACGGAACTAGAAGAAGAACTTGATCAAGTGAATAAAGAAATGGGCGAAGCTCGAGTAAGTGCATCATTTAAATGGCATGTAGAATTCTCTTTTTTTTCGTAATAGTCCGATCGAAATGAAACAAGTCGTGCACAACGACGTGCAGAACTTATTGAAAATCTTAAACAATTTCCAGGCGTGGTATGTAGAAAATATTCAATCTTGTACATCAGCTTGTTTTTAGCTTTTCAGGATTTATTTTGCTGGTTTAAATTTTTTCTAGTATGGTCGTTTAATTGATCTTTGCGAGCCAACTCACAAACGTTTTCAAATGGCAATAACAAAAGTTCTTGGGCGTAATATGGATTCAATTATTGTTGAACGTGAAACAACAGTTCAATCGTGTTTGCGGTACATGAAAGAACATCGATATGAACCTGAAACATTTTTACCACTCGATTATATTAAAGTATCGCCAATAAACGAACAACTTCGGTTTGTTTTTTGTATTATATTCAAAATAAGATAAATGCATTTTTCATTAGAGAATTACAAGATCCTAAAAATGTAAAACTTGTACTGGATGTTATTAAATATGATAGACAATATTATAAAGCCCTACTTTATGCATGTGGTAATGCACTTGTTTGTGATAATGATGATGATGCTCGACGATTGGCATATGAAAGTGGAGGTCAAAAATATAAAGTAGTTTCATTGAATGGCACACTGTTTAGTAAATCGGGTGTTATATCCGGTGGATCCAGGTAAGAGCAAATATTCTCCTACTCGCTGAACTATAATGAATTTTATTTTACTAGTGAATTAAAAGCTCGTGCTAAACGTTGGGATGAAAAACATCTTGATGGACTACGTATGCGTAAAGATAAGCTATTTGATGAATATAAAGAACAACAAAAGAAAAAACGACGTGAAGCTGAATTGATCAACGCTCGGTTCGTAGGAAAATCTATGTAGTAGAAAAGAAAAATATTTTTTCATGTTAGTGCACAATTACAACAACTGGAAAGTCGTTTACGATATTCAAGAACAGATAAAGAAACAGCAGAGAAAAAACTTCGAATTTTAATCGAGAAAGATCTGCTTGATTTTCAAGGAAAACTTGCTCAATATGACGTAGGTTTTATATCAAATTGTCTTAAGATACATCAAGAAAACAACTCTATCATTTTAGCCGAGAATCAATGCTTTGCAAGCGTCCATTGGTGAACGAGAAAAAGTCATATCAAAACTACGTATGGAAAAAAATAAAATTGAAGATGTTGTATTTGTTGAATTTTGTAAACAAATTCATGTAGCTAATATTCGGTAGATTACATAGAGATTGATTGTTTTTTCTGTATGATTTTGCGTTTTTTTTAAGCGTATACGAAGATCGAGAATTACAAGCAGCTGAAAAACGAGCACAAGAACGTTTGGAATTTGAAAATCAGAAGACCAAAATTCAAACTATGCTTGAATTCGAACGATCACGTGATACTGATGGACATGTGGAACAAATTACACAAGAAGTTACCAGTTTAGAAGATGCTTTACAAAGATGTCAAAAGAATGAAAAAAAATATCGAAAAGTATGTTTTAGTTGTTTAGGAAAATTCAAATTTAAAAGATTTTCATTTAGATAATTGAAGATCTTCAACATGAAATTGCTGATATTAAAGATCGGTTAATAGATCACAAGAAGAAGATTGAATTTCAAGATCGCGACATAGCTGATTGTACAAAACGTGCTGCACAATTGAATAAAGATTATAATGAACAACGAAAACGTTTGCAACTTATTGATAGTGATATTGAAAAATTGCGTTCAGATCGGCACAATTATTATCGTACAGCGAAGGTAAATTGATTCAAAATTTCAAATGTAACCCATGAAATTTTTCTCTTATAGCTAAATGAAATTTCATTACCATTTCGTGGTAATGCTGGTTCAATGGCAGCCATTTCACTTGCCGAAACATCATCATCCGACGATACCAGTGTCGTTAGTTCTCAAACACAAAATAATTCTTCCACAACAATGCTAATGACGCAATCATCGGCTGCGACTGATTTTTCCACGCTGTCAAATGGCGATGGAATGATGGCTAGTCAACAAGATACGAAACATATTTATGATTTAGAAGATAGATTCGATTTAAATTTTAAACGTTTACGTGATGAATTAAAAAAGATAAATTATGAACAAGTTGATAAAGAAGAAAAATTGCTCATTAAACAAATGTCTGATATTGAAATTCAACTACAAAAGCATCTACCACAAACATCAACTATTGATGCACGCACACGTGACGTTAGAACCACATTTGAATTAACAAATGCTGAATTTGAACTTGCACGTAATGCAGCTAAACGCGCACGACAAACTTTTGAAAAAGTGAAAAAAGAACGTTACGATCGTTTCAATGCACTATATGAACATGTATCATCGTGTATTGATGAAATCTATAAATCATTAACAAATTCACAAGCTGCTGTTGCTTGTTTAACGGCTGAAGATGCCGAAGAACCCTATCGAGGTGGTATTACGTACAACTGTGTTGCACCTGGCAAACGTTTTCAAGCCATGGAAAATTTATCTGGTGGTGAAAAAACGGTTGCAGCTATTTGTCTTTTATTTGCACTGAGAAGGTAACGAATGAAGATTGCTTTTCGTATTGAGTCTTGCTTTGGTTTAGTTTTAAACCAGCTCCATTCTTTTTACTCGACGAAGTCGATGCTGCTCTTGACAATACAAATATTGGCAAAGTAGCTGATTTTATTCGTGAACAATCTGCATCAGAATTTCAATGTATTGTTATTTCATTGAAAGAACAATTTTATTCACGTGCTGATGCACTTGTTGGCATTTATCCAGAAGTAAATTTCATTGTAATTTAATAGATTTAATTCTTGTTTCTCTATTTATTTAGCCCGGTGATTGTATAACTAGTCATTGTCTTGCATTAGACTTAAATCAATTTGACGAACGAGAAAATATTGCAAATACTCGTGATTAGAAGACAATATATATATATATTTTTCCTTCACCTTCTGTATATATTTCTATAAATATATGTGTATTAGTGCAAGAAGTATTTTTGAAAATAAAACGAAATGTATCATTAGAAGAGAAGGCTTTCTTTTGTATTCTTTGCACAAGAACGAAAAGAGAAATGTTTTGCTTTTTTCGCATTTTGTTACACGACATGGCATTGATGTTGCTCTTATTCTCTACGAAGTTATGCTCATGAATTGCCATTATTTATTGGCGTTTTAACAATAATAAAAAGAAATTTTACAATAAATAGTATGGAGGAATTAATTCGACAACTAACTCATGATAATCAACAGTTTGAAGAACAATGGCCAACTTTACATACTCAGTTACATGAATTATCAGTTGATCGTTCAGAAATCGATTCAGTGATTGTCAAGGTTAAATCATTGGATGCACTTGTTGATTACATTCTAGCGGATACTGAAAAATTTCTTCATGTAAAATTAGTATTGGCTGAAAATGTAATTAAACATGTCATTGAAAATCCAACACCACCCTTTGATGAATTAACACGAATATTTTGTCGTGTATTGGATGTATCAAATACGAATAATTTATTTAATTTATCATTTCTTGAAAAATTCCTTTATGTGACTCGGATCGGTGAAGAATTATCGAAAATTCCTTCTGTAAATTTGATTGATTCAATATTTAATCATTTAGAAAAGCATGAATTTTCGAATCAAAATTTTGATGATAAGATGAAACAATCATGGCGACAGTTTTTATCTGAAGGTCTGCTTTCATCATTAAGCATGGATGTAAACAAACTCAACTCTGAAGCCACAATGAATAACATGAGAAGTAGTTTTCAACGTTTGTATAGGTAATTTCGCAACTCGAGTTAATTTAGTTATATTTTTTTTTCTTCATTTCATCAGATGCGCAGCTCTCAATTCGCATCAATCCGATGTTTGGTCGGCAGTTTTAAATGTTTTGAACCGTAGATATCCAACATTATTCAATAGTTATACTGATTCAGAAGAGGCAACATTTTATTTAACATCATGTGCTGAACCGACCATATCAGCTGATTATGTTCATCTAATTAGTCAAGGATATAAAAATGATGCTGAATTATTCAAAACGAATATATCTCTTCTCTGTACAATTATGGAGAAACTTGTGCTGCAAAATCGAGTAGATGCTTGTAGATATTTTATGAATAACACACTTATTATTCATTTCAAATTAATAACTAATTTTGAAGAATTACTGCAAATGTTAATTCGTATGTGTTCATCAGTGAATATTGAATCTCGAAATTCTTTTTGCACAAGTGTCATATCACTAATAACGTATGAATTCAGCCGTAAGAAATGTAAGAAAGAATTAGCAGGATTATTCTTTGATTTTATACTTGCGATACTTAACTTCACTACGATGGACGCTCCTAAATTTGCTCATTACATATTAGCCATAGGTGAATTTTATCCATGGAAACAATTAGATACAAAAATAACTCAACTTATACAATCTTGTATTACTTATGATAATATTGCTTGTGATGCACGCAATACTGATCTTGATTATTTGAATCAAATTCTAAGTACCATTAGAGAAAGAGCTAAAGGGAATCCAACCATATTACATGCAACACATACATTAGCTTTGGAAGCTGTTTTGAAATGGTCATCAGTTATTAATAATGACACTGGAAAACCATATAGTCGTCATGTATTCGGAATGGGAGTAGTAATGGTTGATTTAGTTGATCAAAAACAAGTATCTGTTGAAACTTGTAGTAAGCTTCTTGGTATATTTCGAAAATTAATTGACCCGGATGATGAAATTTTTGAGTTAAATCAATTGTATGATAACTTTTTACGTGTAAGTTTATGTGTGACAAAAAAATATGATTATAATCGTTCTTTTTTTTGTAGTCTCTGGTAAAATTATTGGCAGAATCTCTTGCACATTTGAAAACTTTACCATTGACATTACACGAAGAAATAGCTTCATTCATCTTAGCAGCATTGAATCATCCTTTTATGAAGGAAAACGGAGCAATGACATTGGCACATGACGCTAGTCTTCCGTTGTGGTTTAAATTAGGAGTATGTATGCATACTGAAGATGATGCACGTCCGTATAAGACCTGTGCTGATCGATTATATCAATTAGCTTTTGAAGACGAAGCACAACAACAACTTCATCCATGGTGGCTTACGTTTTGGACTATTGTTGGTTTAAAATATCCAAATCTAGCTCTTGATCATATTTCACAATTTCTCGAAGAAATCATCGATCGTAAACGCTTCACTTTATTATCCATTGTTACTGTAAGTTATATTAACAATTTGTCCTAAAATTTTGAATCTCTAAATATATCTAATACTTCTTAAAAAATATTTCTAGACACTCTACAGCAAACGTCCAGAGCCATTTCATAGTCGACTGAACGATCTTATTCATGGACTTTTCGATGCTAGTAATCAACGGTTGCAACCTATATCGTTTCTTGTCCACACTATTGTCCAAGCACATCCAGAATTAATAACATCGGAGCATGTCGATTATTTATTTGCTTTAATTAAAGATAACATTAGTTCATTTGATGCAATACTTCATATTTTTCTAACACTTGGTCATATAGCTAGCGCACAACCACATTTATTCGATAAACATAAAGATACACTTTTCGATTACACTATTGAACGAAATAGTACTGCAGTATTTGATTGTCTACAACGTTATTTAGTAGCATCAACAATTATCAATGGCGAGACAACAGCTGATGAATATCTAACTCAATTAATTAATTTAATTAAAAGTATAAAAAATATTGCTATCGAACTTAAAACACAAATTTTTCATACATGTCAAGTAATTGGAGTACGACATAAACATATTCTTGCTGCGAAACGTAACGATTTAATACCATTTGAATCGGATTCCACTTGTCAAGCTTTAATTGGTTTTATTGATGGAAATATACTTAGTGAAGAAAATCAAGCTATGATTGATCGTACGCTTGATGAAATAGTTCAAATAGAAAAACGTGTTGTTCATACGGAACAGGATATTCAAAATATAACCAAGGTGGTCAAACATCAAGAACTAAATGTAAGCTTTTTAATTTGTTCTTTTGATATTTGGGTTTAGTTTTTTTTTGAGACTCATTAACAAATTCAATCATTTTATTCCACATTGTAGAGTTTGTTCAGTCATTCTTCGTTATCTGATTATGGCCAAAGTAATCCTATTTCTAATGTTCATATAATTGCCTATTTGGATCGGATTGAGACACAATTAAATAATATATCTTTTGAGATACAAACAGTTCGACATGACTTACAAGAAATTCGTCATTATTTTCTTCCAGATCAATAATTAGTTTTTCTTTTTTCTTTTTTCTTTTTTTTAATAAATAGATAACAAATATTAATAGTCATGTTAATGAAATTGATACACGTGTAAATAATATTTCTGAACAAGTTGATTTCCATGCTCGAGAAATAGAACGTATCGATATGAAAACATTAGGTTATGTTCCAACGGAGTGGGGTCGTGATGTATGTACACTTCTTAATGTTCGCACTGAGAATGATTGGCGTTTGCTTGGTAAACGTTTTGGTTACTCAACAAGTGAATTAAAACATTGGGCTATGCAAATCGATCCGTCCATGTCGTTGCTCAATGAATGGTTTATGACGCATAAAGCCGATGAAGCAACATACGGATTGCTCAAGATATTAAATGATATAGGTCGGACAGATGCTGAAGATATTATACGTAAAGCTGTGACGAAGGCTGGTCAACTGATACCAGATGATATGTCCATAGAAATAAAACGCCTGCCACCTGTTTTTATTTCTTATCAATGGGGTTCACAAAAGGCTGTTTTAAGATTAAAATCAAATCTTGAACAAGCTGGTTATTTATGTTGGATGGATACAGGACAGATGGGCGGAGGCGATAAATTATTTGCTAAACTTGATGCTGGTATACGCGGAGCTAAAGTTATTATTTGTTGTATGAATAAAGCTTATGCACAATCAGATAATTGCTCACGTGAAGTTCATTTAACAGTCAGTACAGGTAAAACTTTAATTCCTTTACAAATGGAAAAACAAACATGGCCACCTGAAGGTGCACTTGGACCCATCATGAGTGAATATTTATTCATACGTTTTTTCGATCGAAACGCTAATGATGAAAATTATTGGCCAGCAGATAAATTTACTGAGCTACTTGGTCAAATACGTTATCATGTTGCACCTGATCCAGATATGATTTCTGGGCAATATCATAATTGGTTTGTACCACGTATTGATAATCTAATTTTTCTTCAGCCACAAACATCAACTGATAGTAAAGACAAAACTATCGTTCAAGATAATCTTCCGCTTGTTGTTACTCATCCACAAATAATGATATCTTATCAATGGGATTATCAAAACGATATCGTTCATTTATATGAAAAATTAACTAAACTTGGCTATCGTTGTTGGCTTGATATATTTCAAATGGGGGGTGGAGATTCATTATTTGAAAAAATTGATACAGGTGTACGTAATGCAAAATGTATTTTAGCATGTGTAACTCCAAAATATACGAAATCAATTAATTGTCGACGAGAAATGGCTTTATCTGATGCTCTTAAAAGACCTATTATACCATTATTACTTGAAGAAACAAGTACGTGGCCACCAGAGGGTCCCATGGCAATGGTATTTTCTGAAAAACCCTTTATTGATTTTAGACGTGCAACTGATGATAGTGAACGATGGACTGGAAAAGAATTTGAATCAGTACTTGCTCGTTTGCAGCAAATTATACCTGAAGTACAAACAGAAAAACCACAACGATATTTAATTGATATGCAACGACCAACAACAGCAACGAAGGAACAAGACAAAAAATCAAAACGAATTAGGAGTGCGCCTGTTACACCACAAAGTCGTGCATGTTCTATTATGTAGATATTCGAATGTTTCACATCGATACTATTTTGAATTAATATGAATTTTTTCTTTTTAATAATATACAAAAAGAATAGTTTTCTCGAAGAATTAGAATGTTTTCAGAACTTTAAAAAAGTTTGCTTCAAAATAATAATTAAATAACTAATTGCTCTGAAAACCTTGAAGCAACATTACATCTTCATTAATTCATGGATCAATTAAGTATACGGTTGATGACTTTTATCTTAATTGATCACGTTTAACCTGCATTATGACATTTGTAACAAATTTTCAGAATTATCTTCTCAGACTATTAGCAAAGCTTGTTCTTGATTAAAAACATACCTTTTAATGGAATCTATTATAGTTTGAAGATAATTCATCACCAGAACACAACGCAATGCTCGCTCTTAACTAAACAAAAAGAAAACAAGTTTCTAGTTATTATATTTTTCAAGTCATTACTTTGAAAGAATAAAAATTATCAACAAGCACGGTATTCGACATGGATGAGTACTCGTATTCCACTAATGATTATTTTTATCTGAGCAATCTAATACTTTGATGTTCGGTTTCATATACGCTAAGAAACATCATCATCTTTACATTCTAAGCATGTTACTTGAAATTTCTACACAATTAGCAAGAATCGTTTTGATATCATTGATGATTTTGGGAACTATACGCAATGTTCTTAATTTGTTCATTTTTACTCGACCTAGATTTTTACGTTCATCATGTACATTATATTTTATCGCTGTTTCCATCAATAATATTATTGCGATTTATGTATCGATATTCAATAGACTTCTTATTGGTGGATTCTCTATTGATGTTGGATTATCATCAACAATTGTGTGTAAACTAAGACCTTATATTGGCTATGTAATTTTAGCTTTGTTACCATATTTTTATGTTTTGACTTGTTTTGATCGATATTGCTCGAGTTCGGCATCGGTCATATGTCGTCCTTGGAGTAATAAAACAATGGCTAAACGATTTATCTGTGGAGCAATAGTTCTAGCTGCTATTCTCTATTCGCATATGTCTATATTTTTTCAAATTCAAAAAGTTGGATCTGATACCATATGTTATCCTGAACAAGGACTTTATGATTCATTTTTGGAGAATATTCTATATAACTATCTACTGTTTTTTTCCATCTACTTGTATGAGTTTATTATGTTTTCTTATAGCGATTAATATTCGCCGTCAACTACGTCAAATTAGTCCTCCATTACCAACTACAAATGATATACATCGACGTCTTAAAATTCATTTGATTCGAATATTATTTTCACATTTTTTAACTCAAATTCTATGTGTTTTACCATTTGCTATTATCACTCTTCTCGGCATGTTTGTCGATAGAACTACAATAGTCTACACATTTGTTTTAAGGATTCTTACACTTCCACTATTTGTTAGTTATACAATAGCATTTTATGTGAATACATTGTCATCTCAAATTTATCGGCGACAACTTATAAAATTAGTACGATTTTGAAAATGAACAATTAGAAAAGAACAAGATCTCATTCAATGCTTATAGATGATTGAATTCTGCATCGTACCCGATCCACTGGACGGATTAAACACAAACTTTGTTATTATAATTAGTTTTTACTTGTACATTTAGAGTTTTATATCGTAGTAAAATTGAAGTTTTTAATGTAATAAAAATGTGTTTTGGATGTGGTTCTTGTTCTCAATATTCTATGATTTGAAGCTAAATAGACAGATGATCATGTAGAAGCAGTGATATTAAATTTGAAAAGCTTTATGGACACACAAATTATTCACTATTAAATAAAAATTGACAATTATTAAAAATTTCAAAGAAATTTCTTATTGAATGCGACAACGATGAATTTTTACATTGTTTCAAAACTTCTAGAGCATTTAGATTAAAAACAACTATGAGTCACTGACGACTCGTTACATTTGATTGGTGTCATATTCATTTCGTTCTTTGGTTGTTTTTGAAAACGAAAATTATGAATTTCAGTTACGATAGTTATTCCGTGTGTATCATCCGACTTGATTCAATGGGCAATCCCGTAAAAACATTTCTCACCAGAAGGCTCACAAAACACTGATTCTTGACATTAAAGTTGCTGGTGGTGGTAAAAGTTATAGGCATGATTATTGAGAATTTATTAGTTGTAAAGAGACATTTACTTATGTGCCACTAAGTATAGATTGGTTGTTCCAAATTCCATCACGATATTCAAATCTGATAAAAAATATCGAATATCTCCGCTTCCCGAAGTCCGTTTGAGCTGATTTTTAGATTCCGGAATAGGCAAAACATTTTTCTATCGAATTGTATAATTTTCATCAAGATACGATTCGTTTTGAGTGAGCAGCAACAAAGATNCAAGCAAACATTTTACTTCTTTTAACTATAAAAAAGATATTTTAATTTTGCCTAGTCAAAATTAAAATTATAATTTTGACTGAGAATATATTAGTCAAAATTAAAATTTGAATTTTGCCCAGTCAAAATTAAAATTCTAATTTTGACTGGAAATATATCAGTCAAAATTGAAATTTGAATTTTGCCTAGGCAGAATTCTAATTCTAATTTTGCGTAGTCAAATTTCAAATTTGACTGGATTTTAATTTTGCCTACAACATGTACATGTACATTGATTATTATTGGATCCAGCAATAAACTCGTACGTAAAAATTAGACAGTTATAATGATATACTTTTTCAATAACAAAAATATTTTTGTCATGGCCAAATATAAGCGCATCAAATAGAAGGTTTTTTTTCTCTCATCACTGATGAAGCATTAAATTATATTTTGAGTGATGATTATATGTAAAAAACGCTCGATTTGTTTTTGTTCAGATATTTTTGAAGGTCTTTCAAAACCTGTCTTCTATTTTTTTTATTATTTGTTGAAACATGGCCAATTTGAATCATGATAGACTTGTACTGTGATTGTATTTAAAAACTAGTCAGTAATTCGAAGGAAGTTTATGTTTTTCTTCTTTTGGTACGCTCAACTCAACATTGATATTTCTTTTATTGTTGCATAGAATTTCTACATATTCTCTGCCTGAATAATGTTCAAATCTATGAACAATGTAATCTGTCGTTTACATTTATATTTTTTAAGGATTAATGAAAAATGTTGTACTGTGCAACGGTTTGGTAATCTATGTCCTTTTACGGTATGCAATTCTGTAAGGTCATTTGGAACCAATCAACAGTAAGAAAACCATACTCAGACGCCCAGTTGCATAGTTGAGTATCCATGATGAGAAATCCAAGCCATGCACTCAATATTTACATTATCTACAAGACACATTTTGAAAAAAGTATGTGATTGCTTTCAAAAGACATAATTAGGATAGTACAGAACCATTATCTACGGCCAGTTTGTCAGTCAACATCAAGGAACGAGTAACTGTTTGTTTCTTTGTGCGATAGTAATGTGCTACAGAGTATTGAAAGACTTTCTATCGATACACTGAGGACGAATTCTTCACTACTAAAATATTAATAAGAAAAATAACTACCTCATTTTCCTAATATTGTATACTGACAGATAATATTTTGATAGTATATTTATTTTAATCACCATATTCTAGACATTGTTTTTAGAATAACTTTGAATTTGCAAAATTCGTGTTTTTTTTCATCAACGTTTAACAGCAGATTAAATATCGGTATAATGAATTGTTTTGGTGATATTGACGATTCAGATAAAAAAAATTCCACCTGTTTACGGTTATCGTACTGAGAAACTTGTTTCTATTGAAAAAGCACTAGAACCTATCGTACCTCACATTGATGAACTACCATATTACATAAAAATAGCTAAAAAGTACTGTCATTTCCCATCAGAACATGGACTAACACAAGATCAATCAGCTGCTATCTATATTTATATAATGGAATGGGGTGATATTACATTGTATCATGTTTTGGATAAAGCATTGTGATCAGAAAATCGACAAGCATTAAAGATATGGTTTCCGTATATAAAACTATTTGATACAGCATTAGATAAGCTACCTATAATGTCAAAGAAGTAGTATGGAGGGGTGTAACTCTTGATATTGGTAAAAATTTCACTAGAAATCAAATTGTGACGTGGTGGAGTGTGCATTCATGTTCATCGTCATCAAAAGTGATTAAGGGGTTTTTGGGTGACAGCCAAAGCTCAACTCTATTTTTAATCGAAGCTATCAATGGAAAAAGAGGCTTCTGGATATACAGCACATGAAAGTGAAGATGAAGTTATTTTACGAATGGGTACCGAATTTCGTGTAAAAAGTGATCCATTGGATCAATCAAATGGTTCATATGTTGTACATTTAATTGAAACTGATGATAACAATGATCAACCATTAGCACTGAATAATAGTAATACAACTGGTAAGTCATTTATATATTTTTCTCTTTTAAATAATATCTCTTATGATGGTGAAAGATATTACTAAATAGTTAATTACTTTGAATGAGATCCTTCTTCAAGAATTACTTTCATCAATATAATTAGGATGAACGTTTTCAGATTTTTCCACTCTATTACCATTAGTCTTTTTTATGTATATCGATGGCTATACACCTGCTTGAGAACGAGAGCGATGCTATGTAATTGATTACATATTTAATTAAAAATCCTATTGTCTTGTTTCGAGTCGTTCAAAACCTTTTCTCATCATTGATAATTTCATTTCAAAAGAATCTTCTAGTATAGAAAGACATTTAGACTTGATATAATTTTTTTTTCTAGAGAAACGTTTTTGGAGAAAATCTTCTTGAATTTATAAAAAAAGATCTGTTATAGGAATTTCGACCTATATTTTCGAAATTATTATGGTGATCTCAAATACTATCGGAAAAGCTAAGAGTACTCGCTAGAGTAGTTCTTTTTTGGACACTTTTCATGTCATATTATTCTAATAAAATTACCACTGAAGTCATAGAGAGAGATCTTCTTTGTTTTACTGTTGTCTTGCAGTTAATATTCCTGCCAATGCCACATGGGCACAGAATGGAACGGCTGTTGCTAGAGGCAATGTAGGAGACAATGCCACCAATCAACTCAACTGGCCGCAAGGCTTCTTCGTCGATGAAGATCAAACAGTGGTTGTTGCTGATACGGGGAATCATGGTATCATTCAATGGAAGAACGATGATACGGCGAACGGACAAGTTGTTGCTGGTGCCACGGGCCAAGGAAATGAAAATCAACCAATTGAATGATCCAATCGATGTATTGATCGACAAAGAGACGAACAGTCTCATCATCTGTGATGCAGGGAATCAACGAGTATAGTACGATGGCCACGTTGTAATGGAACAACGCAAGGAGAAATACTCCTTGACAATATCCAATGTTTTGGATTGGCCTTGGATAAACAGAGATATCTCTACGTTTGTGACAACGAAAAACACGAAGTAAGACGATATCAGTTGGGTGAGAAAAATGGCACTCTCGTGGCTGGTGGAAATAGCAAAGGTGATAGTCTTAATCAAACCAACAAGCCGAGATATCTCTTTGTTGATCGACAGCAGAATGTCTATGTGCCAGACGATTTCAATCATCGTGTAATGAAATGGAATAAAGGTGCAAACGAAAATATTTTCGTCGCTTGAGGTCAAGGTGAAGGGAATACTCTGACACAATTGTATTATCCTAATGGGCTCTTCGTCGTTATGTTTGGTACACTCTATATAGCAGACTCGTGGAATCATCATGTAACATGTTGGACTCAAGGGGCGAAAGAAGGCACTGTAATTGTGGGTGGAAATGGTCAAGGAGCAGCAGCAAACCAGTTCTACTACCCTAATGGTTTGTCTTTCGATCGAGATGGGAATCTATATGTCGTTGATCACGTTCATCTTTGTGTTCAACGATTTTCTATCGAATAGACTTTTGAATTGTTCTTTTTTGTTCGCTTCTTTTCTACTTTGAAATAAATGAAAAAAATTAATTTTGTTTTCTTTGTTTCTTTTTATTTTTCTCTCTCGCTTGAAAGAAAATAAAAAATATAAATATAAGATTACATCATGTTTCTTTTTGTGTTCTTTTAGCTCTTTTATATAATCTAAATGAATTGCGATGAACTAAAAAGAAAGAGAATACATACTTTGTGTTAACTGGTTTACGTTGAAATTGAACTGAAAGAAGAACAAGAAAATATGAATTAATGAAGTGATCGGGAAAAAAACGTCTTTTTTTACTTTCTATTAATATTCATGAGCGCGAGTTTGAATGCTACGGACACCTAGACAGTACTTATTAATTTTCTATCAGTCTAATAAATGATCGAAAAGTATAATCATAAATAATAAGATTTATATTTTTGAGATACAATAAAATGAATAAAGTTCAATATTAGAAAAATTCACAAAGAACAATAGATCCTGGGTATACTGTCATAATTGTCAGAAGGTATACTTTGAGCTCAGTACACGTACTAGGTAATGAAACACTATCAATAGAGTAACTAGAAAAAATTGTTACATTTTGCTGAGAGTAATGAAATCTTCCTTGTAATGTGCCCTTTCATCTTATATTCAATGGAAGATACTTTGACGATAGAATATTGAGTTTATTAGTGCAAAAATGTATCACAGGGAACATTACATGATATATTAATAGAAACTATTGATAATACATGCTTTATCTTAAAACTTCCTTTTAGATTTGGAATATACCTAGATTTTTCTTATCTTAACTGAATCAATGTTTTTCTTTCAATTTTCTAATTGATGTTCTAGCACGTAAAAATAGCTAATCTTACTGTTTGAAAAAGATTTCAAATGCTTTATTTAGCACGTAAAAATAGTTAATCTTACTGTTTGAAAAAGATTTCAAATGCTTTATTTAGCACGTAAGATATATTAAATTTCATCATTAAAACGCGTTGTTGCCGAGAAGAAAATAATCAACTGGGTTTTTACGAGTTTTTGTTTGACCATCCTAATTCTCATATAAAAAAAAACTTTAGATTTGCACATAATCCTGAATTTTTACCCAAGTTACCATTTTAAACAGCATACAGCTTCAGGATGCATTTTTCAATTTGTTTCTACTTGAATGAATTAAAATATCGTTTAACATTTTATTTTCTGTGTGTCTATTTATTTGATATGTAAAGGAGTCACATCGTTATTTAATATGATTTCCACAAAAGTGATGAGATTGACAGAAATTTGTTATTTCGTATTGATGTTTTTCAGGTAAACTTTTAAAATATATGTCTATTCTATTCAACTAATATTGAATATATTTCGTTTTAACCTTACATATTGCACTATCTATGTCTTGCTCTTAATTTAGTGTATTGATAGTTGGAGCTAAATATCAATCATGTGATGGCTTGGTTGAATATGCCCGATGTTCGACGCATTCCGCGTGTACCTGTTTCCATATGATTACTCCTCGTAATTCAAGCATTTGTGTCGACCAATTCTTGCTATCTTGTTCAGAGCTAGTTGAATGCGAAGGCGCAAACAATACTTGTAATGAACCGGAACATTTGTGTTTGAATCATTCTCGATGTCATGATTTTCCTATTTGTTATCCAGTACCGAGCTTCAATGAACAACTCTGTCCACCGATCAGTAAGAGCAACAAAACAGAAAGAGGGAAGGATACAAGTAAAATATGATGAATCATATAGACCACATTTATCAATCTAAATTAAGAAAAATCTCTTGTGCATAGGAATGCATAAAAGGCCAAAGAAAAAATGAAAATCGATAATCTGATTTGTTTCTTTTCATTCGGCGACCTTCGTAAGTTTATGAAACTTTTTCTGAGAGACGACCTCAAAAATTGTAATCTTCTCATATAACGAGTGATCTAAAAACTAATAGTAGTTTTAAGAAGTCTAAAGCTATAAAATGTCATAATTCAACTGATTAGATCATACAACACCCACAATGAATGACTATTAAATTTTTATTTTATCAAAGTTGAACTTAACCCAGGTCATCGTAATGTTGGTCGTGGGTAGGAGTTTGAACTGAATAAGTTCTTTTTCTGTGCCGAGTTAATACATCTCTTGAAATATTTCGAATGCTGTTTCCTTTTTGTAGTGGCGGCAGAGTTTCTATGTCTGTGTTGAAATTGAACGAAGAAACTAGTGTCAAAACATACATACCGATAATCAGATCCACTACAAAAAAAACATAAGCGAACGTTCTTTTCACATTAGAATGAACCTTCATATTCTCATCCAAACATCATACTTCTCTCCTCGTGCTCACATTTCTTCTTTATCTAGTAGTTTACAGTATATTAGTAACTGAAAGGGTTCTATAAGTGTAGAGTATGAAAAATGGAGTTATTGTTACAAACTTTAGGAATCACTAAATTCTATATCTCCTTTTATGCTAAAAAGCAAATTACTTCATTCGTTCATACGAATAATCGTCAACTATGAATACGAAAGAACACTATAGGTACAACGACAACTACAAGCACTGCTACAACAACAACTGAAACAACAACCACGAGCACTGCTACAACTACAACTGAAACGACAACTACAAGCACTGCTACAACAACAACTGAAACAACAACTGAAACAACAACCACGAGCACTGCTACAACCACAACTGAAATGACAACTACAGCAGAAAGTACAAGTGCGAATTCAACCACAATGATGAGTCCAACTTTAGAGACTGCTCAAGAGCTAGGTGAGCTTTTCTCTCATACTTCTCAATTTTTCTTAATTATAATTCAGAATCGAACACCTGTAGTTATTTTTATGTTATGTCACTATATGGGTATCTTAAGTGTAACTTGATGAGCCTAGTTATTTTATATCACGAGTAATTTGATTGTCATCATTAACAAAAAAATGAAAAACTTTCCATTTTCGCATGATTTAACCATTCTCCTCATAATCGAAATTAGCTTTGCTTTATTGACAAGCTCACGTAGCTAGTAATTAACTAGAATTGTGATCTCCATAAATGAAGTCATATTAATGTACTAGAAATGTTTTTAAACAAACGAGCTCATTTGGACACCGATAATGTTATTGATTACATCAGTTTACTTCTGTCAAAAGGAGAACATTTTCCAAATTCTTTTGATTCCATTGATTATCAATGAAGGTTATGGAACGCACACAATTACTCAAGAAAGTTTAGTAAATAATTTAAAACTCTTTTGTAAGTGAAGATAGAAGTTATTGTAAGAAATCTCCAGTAAATTGCAAAAAATGATGAAGTTTTTCAGCAACTCTATTGCTGCATTATCAATGAAATAGTCATTCGCATTAGATCAAATGTCCACAAAATAAAGAAAGATACAACGGCAAACTTTCAAAATCATAAAACAAAAGACTGAACGTTTCTTTAGTTGGAAGCTCAGAGGGGATTTTAGCATAGATGTCTGCACAAGCGAAAACATTGATTCGCTCCATGTGTCTCCACAGTTGAAGACAACTTTTCTCCAGATTCGAAGAGAACTACAACTAAGTAGGGGTGTACAGCTCACGCTCATTTTGAAATGAGCGGTCGTGAACACGAGGGATTTTGTTTGTTGATACTAAAAGCTGTAGTCAATTTTACTTCTTTATAACTATTGCTACGAATCTCAGAACCACTCTTACATATTGAAGTCCCGTTGCTAGTTTTCGCTGATAAACGCTCACAAAAATGAGCGTGAGCTGTACAGCCCTACAACTAAGTACTCATAAATTAAAAAGAAATGAAAGTTAAGTTTTTTGCCACTTTCGGAAAACTTATTCATTCTTCAGAATATCTAATAAAATCAGAGAAAATTGAAAACTTCAAAATTTTCTATGTTACCTGGCAGCTGATTCACTAGTGAAACGGACCTGTTCCTAGTTAGAATTATAGCTTCAAAAGACATTAATTAAAACTATTTTGTTCCAGTTTTTTTCTTCTTGTTTCATCGTTCAACTATTTAGAAATGTACTTGTTTCTATCTTTTCGTCATCAACATGAAGTCCAGTATTTCAATATTTTCCAACACTACTATCACTTTTAAGACATATCAATCGTGTTATTTTTGCTAATTAATTGGTCTGATATGGAGTATCTAATTTTAAAGTGATAGCCGTTCATAGATTGTGAATGAGGAAGGGAAATGCTAAAAATGATTGAATTAATATATATGACGAGAGAAAAAAATACCGGGACTATATTAAGAGTAAAGAGCACTTCGAAAAGATCTAAAATTAGAGAAAAGCAAAGAAATTGCGAAAAAAGAATTGTTTATACTCTGTATTACATAATTTGTTTTCGACTGCTAATATCGCGATCAATTAAATATTCAACGCAATCGTCTTGTTTAAATTAAATATTTTCATCTCAATTTTGTTGAACACATACTAAAACTTAACTTTCATCAGACTCATACAGAATTATGAAGTAGTCTCAATAGAAAAATAGTTCATAAAGATGATCTTACTAATGCTGAAGCTTGTCAAAAATCGATTTCAAGATTTATATCTATTGATTTTTATACGAGAGTGAATGATCAAATTGCAACATAAAATAATTTTTTTCCAAGGGAACCGTGCCAAGACTGAAATTTTTACACTCATTATAAGAAGTTGACATCTATTTTGTTGATACTTATGATCTAATTGCGAGGAAAAAATAGCTTTTTCTAATTTATCACAAGTATTAATCAATTTTATTAAATAAAACTTGATACAGTTGAAGAATGAGACACACAGATCACTGTTGTTTGAAAAACAAAACGTCGGTAAATACCATCTAGCATTCCGCTTTACCAAGGATGATATAAAAAGAAAAGAAAAAGAAATAACACAAAATCTAGTGCAGAATAATTAGTTCTAAGTTAGATTTTGTTTAAAATAACCACAAGAATTTCTTGCTTATCTAATGACAGCTGTTTTTCTTCTGTCTTCTATTTGTGTAATACATCTTGCATATAATGCATACGATAGAATTCTGATTAAAGCAGATAGCATATACCCTTCAAAAACAATCCGGAGTGATATATTAAATCTAATCCTATTCAGACTTTTGTACTGTACTTTGCTTGCCTCCTTTAATTGTTTTTTTTTATAATTCTTTGAGTCTTCGAAAACTCTTTCACATGAGAATTACCATTGAGAATTTCATTTCTAAACTTTCTGATATTTCCTTCTAAAGAACCTGTTACAAATTCTCTGTCATTATTTTTCTACTCGTCTCCAGAACAACTATCAGGAAGAATCTTTTTCTAATTTGGGACTTGATAATGTCCTTTAAATTTACATGAATTTATAATAAAACAAAAAAATGTGGAAACTTCGGATTTCATCCGAGAGCTATGTGTACTGCAAAAAGTGCATAGGACATGTGAGTCATTCTAGAATGTCTGAACACCAAAATTATCATGAGAAACTAGGCAATTTGCTTTCTGGATGCAGTTTTTGTGCATTTTGAGACCTTTTTCAGGTGATGTTTCGTTAGAAAGCTACGATTTAGTTCAAAACTAGTATCAGATTCGGAATCAGCGTTAAAAACTGAGTCGATTTATATATGTTGTGGATAATTCTGAGAAAAGTTTTTGTTTTGAAAAATCCCTGTACTCTCCGTCAGGGATGATCTGGTCAAAAATGACAATTTTTTCGATAACTCAACTATTTCTTGACGGATCCTTCTCATCTTCGAACTCGACTGAGATATTAATGAGATCATTATGTGTACAAAATTTCATGACAATTGGATGAGGCTTTCAAAGGTTATCGTGTTAACAGCCGGACGGACACACTGACTGAATCTAGTGTACTCATTTTTTTTTTGAGTACACAAAAAAAGATCTACTAAAGGAATGTTGTTCTACAGATTCGAAATTACAGAATTGTGCTTTCTATTACTAATTGATATTACCCATCGAATCAACTAGAAATACTCGCCGAAGTAGTTCTTCTTGTCTAATATCAGTACCACTTAAGAAATAGATTTCCTTTGTTTCTAGGCTTTCTTCTAGTTAATATTTCTGCTAATGCCACATGGATACAGAACGGAACGACTATTGCTGGAGGCAAAGAGCTAGGTGATGCCACCAATCAACTGAACAACCCTCATGGTGTCTGCGTTGATCATGATCAAACAGTGGTTATTGCTGACTACGGAAATCATCGTATCATCGAATGGAAAAAAGATGATACAACGAATGGACAAGTTGTTGCTGGCGGCAAAGGCCCAGGAAATGGATTACATCAATTGGATCGACCAACTGATGTATTAATTGACAATGAGGCGGATAGTCTCATAATTTGTGATCGAAACAATCAACGAGTCGTACGATGGTCTCGTCAAATTGGCACAACACAAGGAGAAATCCTTATCGACAACATCACTTGTTATGGATTAGCTTTGGATGAACAGAGATATCTCTATATATCTCACTACGAAAAACATGTAGTAAGAGGATATGAGTTGAGTGATAAGAATGGCACTCTTGTGGCTGGTTTCAATGGCGAAGGTAATGCTCTCAATCAACTCAACGGGCCGACATATCTCTTTGTCGATCGACAACAAAATGTGTACGTATCAGACAACAAAAATCATCGTGTAATGAAATGGGCTAAAGATGCAAAAGAAGGAATTGTGGTCGCTGGAGGAAAAGGCGAAGGGAATGCTCTGACACAGTTGAATTCTCCTTACGGCATCTTCGTCGATATGTTGGGTACACTCTATGTTGTAGATAGGTTCAATGATCGCGTAATGCGTTGGACTCAAGAAGCAGAAGAAGGCACTGTAATTGTGGGTGGAAATGGTCAAGGAGCAGGTGCAAACCAGTTCAACTACCCCGTTTGTTTGTTTTTCGATCGACACAGTAATCTCTATGTCGCTGATCGGTATAATAATCGTGTTCAACAATTTTCTATCGAATAAAACTTGTGAATTGTTCGTTTCTTTTTCTATGCTTTGAAATAAATAAACAAAACAAATTTTCTTTTTCTTTCTCTTTCTCTTTTTCGCGTTGGAGAGAAATGAGTTTTTTTTGCTATTTTCAAAATATTTATTTTAATAATAATAAAAAGAAGTTACAAAAAAATGATAAACGAGAAGAGAAAACGGCAATGACAAAGAGTTAGAAAAATATATACTTTTTATAATTGTTTTCGTTTTGATTTAATTTTTTGTCGAATGAACTAAAACATAAATAACAACTAGTTTTATTTTTATGAAAAAAAACAGAAAATATAAATACTTCAATGTTGTGTTGTTTGAAGTTGAACTAGAAGAAAAAAGAATGATGATTAGAATAAAAACAATATGAATGAAAGCAATTACTTACTTTGCTGTTGATTGAATCGAGATGAACTAAAATGAAATACAAAAAAAAAAGATGAATGAAATCGAATGAATTGGAAAGAAATTTGTTTTATTCCTTATCAATTAATAGCTGCTCGCGCACGCCACCAAGAACTAACTTGGTGGTACCGAAGGGAGCCGAAACACTTCACGTACAGACATAGAAACTACCGTGTATAGAACGTACAGCTAATAAAATCTACGTACAGGCCTGCAAGTGTTCTACGGTCACCAAGATAGTCTTGTGCTGTCTCTACTAATTAGGACAGTAGAAAGAATAAATACTTAAAACAGAAAGAGAAAAACATTTGTATATTCAAAATTCAAAATTAAATAAAATTTTATCTTAAATTAAAAAGAAAAAAAAATATTACCTAAAATAATTAGAAAATAAAATATATATATATATAATATCATAATATAGGAAGCAGAAGAGATAATTATTTCTAAAAGTAAAAATCACTACCATTTACACTATATTTTTGTCAGTTGTGATAAATTCAATTGATATTAGCTTTAAATTATACGCTTGATTGATCAACGATGTGATAGTGCAACAATTAGCAGTCATCGGAGGTGTTCACAAAGCCAATTTTTTGTCTTGCCCTACTTTTTATTGTAAATCGCCCTGACCTGGCAAAACAAAACTAATATGAAAATTTTTGTGTCCTGCCCTGTCCTGCAAATTAAATAGAATTGTTCTCATGTTTAAATCAAAGTTTAAGTAATTATTTTAACTTGAAAAGTAATTCAACAAATAGATAAATGATTAACAAATAATAAATTAGCCCTAATTGAAGAGGTGCATATGATGAAGTTGCACCACCACTGGTGGTCCACAGTAGATACATTTAACGAAGTGAGAATATAAACTTAATTTTCATCACCAGAACGCGACAGATGAAATATATCAGCACGTGAATCTATCGATGGTAGTAGTGATGCATAGCTTTATAAATACATGTGCACTATTATGATTCCTTTATTATTTTCTTTACTTCTCTTACGACTTTGATTAGATCTCATCCCAGTGAAAAATATTCGCTGATTTCAATAAAATTATTGTGCAGCAAAATTAAATCCATAATCGATTGATAATTCTGATTTTAATCGATCACCACTTAACCCAAACTTGATGTTATTGCTAGCACAGTTGAAATAAGCTTGCTTAAAATCGGATTATTCAGCAGCACAACTCAAATTAGCAATCAATTGGCAATGTGTATTTTACTGGAAAATAATCCGATTTCAAGCAAGCTAATTCCTACTGCACTAGCAATAAGATCAGGTTTGAGTTAAGTGGTGATTGATTATAATCATAAGTAGGGTGTGGGTGTGAGTTTAGGCGTGGTGTGACAGCAGATATGAATCATTTCTTCACCGAATAAGTTACGGTCACAACTCTGAAAGTCACGCCCCACACCCAGACCTTAAACAAGTAGCCATTCCCTTTGAGCTTGTATTCAAATAAAAAGAAAATTTCATTTGATATAGAAAAAGAGAGAAGAATAATGCAGGGAAAATCTAGATTAAATGAAGAATTACTCGGATACTCAAAAATTAGAAGTAAGTTTTAGCCACGCGAGCAGGATCTTCAGACGGATTTTCTCCCCGATTGATACAGCTGCATTTCCGATCGCTGATGAAATATCAGTAGCCAACCTTGATGAGCAACCGGGTATTGTTTTCGTAGCTTGAGTCAGGCCTTCCAATGTAAATAAGTCATTGCCCACTATGCTAAATATCGCAGCCCAATCAGAAAAACGTAAACTACACACTCCTGGTGCCAAGTTGTAACATGATGGATGTGAGTCAAATGCAATTTGTCTTAATACTTGACAGTTGTCTTCACAATTTTTTAGAGGTGAGACTAGGGCCTTTTGTAGACAATTCATCGTTGTGTACACCCATGTCACTCCACTACTCGTGAAGGTTGCCAGATTGTGAGCAAATTTATTACAAAATTTCGATCCATACCCGATGGCGTATCCATCCGGTCCGCAGCTGACTTTCTTTTCCATGCAGTTGGTATAAAAATTACAACTTTTTATTGGAGGATTATTGCAAGTATTTTCACACATTGGATCTGATTTACATTTCACGCAGTCATCGCACTTTTCGTATTTGTCGACACTGATTTGATCCACAACCACAGAAGACTGAAACGCACTATCTCCAACATTGGCCACACCTACATCAATACGTATTAGTTCTGGTTTCCCGCTCAACGAGAGCGCTAGCACAAGCCAATCCGTGGCACCCGATGCGTAATCAAACGCTCCAAGACCCAGTGCATTCATACTTTGAGAGATACTCTCAAACTGTCCACTTTCAGAGCGAATACTAACGCTGTAATAATCATTGTATCTCGATCCGAAGTAACCACCTGGCACTTCTGAAGTTACGAATTTATAGCGAACATAAATTTTAGTACTATTCGCGTCGGTCATAAATTGTCTGAAAGTGCTAGTGAGCCCTTCACCGGCTGTCGTGATTGTAAAACCTGGTACGCTAAATTTGCTGCTGTAACCTTGTTTTGAATTGTATACACTTGCATTGATCATTATCTCCCGTTGATACTTATCGAAAATAACACTCTTAGTTAAAGTATCAGCGTTGTCAGTTGAACTCAGAACGATTGTAGTTATCTTTGTTGAAGCTGCCACTCCCGTGAAGCCGATTAAGTTGTCTTTTGTACGAGCAAGCAGAGAAATCGTCCGCAGTGGCACATTTTTGAAAGTAATCGAACCATTTCCATCTGTAACTCCAGCTTGGCTTACGCGGGGAGAGTCAGTGAGATTTGCAGTTACAGTCACACCTGCAGCAGCTGTTCCATTCGAAAACACGACTCGAACTGGCATTGAAATACTACCAAAATATAAATCGAATGACGCAAATATTGGAAATCCGTTTATGTCTATGGCGAACAGAGAAATTAATACGTAGTCAGCTGCAAATTGCTCAAAGATCGTGATACTGCTTGTAGTATTTGTATTATTAACGATATTGTTTTCATTGGCAAATACTGTATAATTGTTTGTATCGAGTATGGGAGACGATAGTTGTAAGACTATTGTTTTATTTAATTCATTAAATTGATTTTCATCCACATTTAACAGAGTAATATCGGCTTCTGATAGAAAATACGACGATTTATTTGGTGATGTTGTCACTAGAGCTGCTCAAGCAAACAAAGCATAATAGTAAAGACATAGATGCAATTTAATGTGAAACGTAGCCTTCAATGTCAGTGAATGAGGAAGAGTTTAGTAATTGAACACGATCTATCGTCAAACTGAATTTTCGTTTGCTGATACAAGACCCTGACAACACTCAGAAATGGACTATTTTCCTCAAAACGTGCTCTTGCTGTCTCAATTTCGAAGTGACCTGCCGATATGTGCTGGTCCACGGTCACATAAAAGAGCGCCATATAGCACTAATTCCGGCAAGAAGAAAATAATGATCTTCTGGGCAAGGTCTATAAGCCTTTATTATCACCACTCATAACAGTGTGAACAATCCCCCACCCCCACTTCCGTGTAGATGCAATCGAGCTCTTATACTGTTGATGGAGATTAGTGATACAACGAGTGTATCTGAAATAATGGCACATTTTCCATGTTCAGCTTTCTCCTCTTGCTCAAGGATTACAGGCTGGAGCTTTCAACCAAAATTTTCTCCATCCGATTCTCTACAAATGCAAGTATTGTATTAACCGGTCGTCACCTCCTTTCTTTTTCGCTTGTTGATACAAGCACTCTCCAGAAAAGTTCTAGCTTGTATAATGCTAGTTTTTTTCCGATGAAATCTACTGCATCTTACAAGCCTCGTATTACTTCGTAAAACATTGTGCTAGATCTCTAATGACAAAAGTAGCGGTATCATCGGATAATTAGTTCGATCAACATAATGCAAACCTAGTAGAATGACACTGAACGTAATACGAGACTTGTAAGATGCAGTAGATTTCATCGGAAAAAACTAGCATTATACAAGCTAGAACTTTTCTGGAGAGTGCTTGTATCAACAAGCGAAAAAGAAAGGAGGTGACGACCGGTTAGTACAATACTTGCATTTGTAGAGAATCGGATGGAGAAAATTTTGGTTGAAAGCTCCAGCCTGTAATCCTTGAACAAGAGGAGAAAGCTGAACATGGCAAATGTGCCAGTATTTCGGACGCACCCGTTACCTTTGATTTGCTTAACTGCTGCTCCTAATATTAAAGAAGTCTACAGTTCCATAGCAAGATTCTATAGCAATCGGGTGCATTTCGTTATGCTTTTCAGTAACTTGATCTGTTTTGGTAGGTTTTATCGTCTTATTACTTGTAGAAGTAGCTGTGGTTGTTGTGTTCATCATTATTTTAGTTGTTGCTTCGCCTGATGTTGTGAATGTAGTGGTGTTAGCAACCCTGAAGATTTGCATATCTATCAGAAAAGAAACCATATGATAAGCTGCCGTTCTAACGAGTTAATGACACTACACTTACAAGTTTCTCTTTCAACATCAATATTCAGCAATAATTCGTTTTGCATGTAACCAAGGATTTTGAGTCGACAACTTCTTGAACAGCCATTAAGAAAAATCAATACACCACTGAGATAAAGCTGACTCGTGGTATCTTTCGGTTGACCACTTATACCTCTCACCAAGCGTACCAAACTTTTAGTTGCCAGTACACTCTAAAAATAACCGGTTCTTTATCAAACCCCCAAGAAAGGTTCCGGAGATTTCAAAAAGCATCCAAAGGTGTCCAAAGTTTCAAAAATGGATAAAAGAATCTACGAAACCTTTAAAGGTTCTTATTGTGTACCCAGGATAAGAACCATTAAAGGTTTTGTAGATTTTTTATCCTTTTTTTTGAAACTTTGAGCACCTTTGGATGCTTTTTTGAAATCTCCGGGACCTTTTATGGGGGTTCGGTAAAGAGCCGGTTATTTTTAGAGTGTACGCGAAGCTCCTTCTAAAAAATCAATAATTGGACAATTTTTTTCAATGCAGTCTTGATGAAAGGCATTGTAAAAACGTATACGATTATCCACTACGAAAAAAATCAACAGGTAGCGCTTTTCAAACGAGTAATATCGTTTTGTATAAACTTGTCTTCGTCACAAGTGTAGACAGGATAGTACCAGTTCTCATGCGTGAAGAAAAACTGACCTGTGGAAGAGCATGGATTGCATTTTTCTTTACTACCACAGCATATTTTTCCAATGTAATATTTTCAGTCTTTTGCTGTTGATCAGTGCCGTTGGTAATTCCTTTAACAGTACTTAGCTGAACATTTTGCGTGTGTCGGTCATTTGCAAGTATTGTGTTCAACTGTGAAATGGAAGACATGCACTACAGCATATAAATAAGACAAACCGTTATCACACCAGCTGCTCGAATACCATGTTTTGAACATCGTTAAGTTGATCATGACGAATATTAATTAGTTCATTGTCCAATCTATTTGGCAGGTCATATATAACCGTAATTGATTCGTCTGAAAAAAATGAGCGCATGTTAGCTAGAGGGTAAAACAAACAAGCATACACACACTGCTCTACAGGATCTGAACTTGAATCCGGTAGAAAAATTGGAATTAATGATAACACAATCATGCCACAAATAGCTAATGCTACCAAGAAAAGAATGACCAAGACAAACCAGATCCAACTATGATACAGCAAAAAATATATATGGAAAAATGAATAAGTAAATCAAACTGACCGGTTGCCTCTTAGACTGTTTGTTACCATGACAGTAGTGAACAGATGCTTGCCGAAAAATCGGATTCTGAAATAAAAAAAGACAACACTCAATATCGACTGGAAGATGGCATGTTTAACAAGTTGGTAAGAGGTAAGCTCAAGAGGGAAACTTCGTTTATGTTTAGTTCTCCAAAGTAAGTTGAGTCATCGTTACTTCCTCCTTCAGCATTCATCATACTCAAGAAGTACGTGTATAGCTTGCTTCATTCAATAATGTTTTCAAGATGCGTTTGTGTCTTTAAATATTCGTTGAAATTATTCATACTTCTTTTTTCTTTAATTGATGAAACGTTGTGAAATATGAGTAACACTATCGATCAATGTGCCAAAATTACACTGATAGGATCATTAATCACACACGCATTTCGTATGACGACATCATGTGATTACCTACCCCATGTGATTTTACCTTTACCGACTGCAGAATATTTCCAACTTAGCACATGTGATTACCAAGCTTATTCATGTACTTTTATTTGGAGAATTGTCCCGTAGTCATAGCTTTTGGCGGGTGTGGGTGTGGGTGTGGGTGTGGGTGTGGGTACTGGTGTGGATGAGATAGTAACTTTTGCTGCTACCTCCACCACCAACAACAACCACTTACAAGCCACACCCACAACCAAACCCCAACTGATCACAGATCCAGGTCCGGTAACCTTGATAACCTACTACCAACTTACCTCAGAATTTTGCTCCGAGTGAAAATAAAAAATCTAACTTAACAGCTTTTGGCTCTGGGTAGTACCGATTTTCTGACTGATGGGAGCTGGACGCGAAAAAGTGATTGGATAATCGGGTTGCTGGATCTCGGTGTCCTATAGGAAAGCGTCGGGAAAAGACAGATAGCTGTTGAAGTATGTGAGCCACAACTGATATTTTTTTTAGCCCGACAGATGGAAACGTCCAAAATCTTGAATGTTTATCCTCTGAGCCTCCTTGTAGTTGAGGGAATGAGACCGATTCAGTAGGGATTAGTGAACAGCTTGCGAGTGAAAGTAAGGGAGAGCATTATCGGTATTGCTCAAAATCGTAGATCCTTCGGATACATATGGGAAATGTATCGAAAAAAATTAACGAAACCATGGGGATTCAATAGAAAATATGGGAAAGCTTCAGATAATGTTGGAACCTATGAACTGTTTTCTATAAATTGTGCTAACCTCGTAGTGGATGAGAAAATTTGAAAAGATCTGCCCAAAAAATAAAAAAAACTTTGGATTCGCAACGGTTCTATCTGTGGTTTCGTGTAAAATGTACGAAACGTTATAAGCATCTAGAAAGTTTCCAGAAGTTACGCATTAAAAGTGCGAAACCTTCGGATTGTCAACTTAACTGTCAGTGGTTTGCTATAAAATGCACCGAACAGTTGAGCTATCTAGAGACTCTCGAGAAGTTCCGCACAAATAGTACGAAACCTTTGGATTGTCAACGAAACTATCAGTGGTTCTGTATAAAATACACCGAACCTCTCGACAGTTTACGAAACTATCAGTGGTTTCGTATAAAATAGACGGAACCTCTCCATAGTGTACGAATGTATCAATGGTTTCGTATTAAAAAGACAGAACTATGTTTTGATCAACGAAACCAACAAGGGTTCCGTCGGCATATGTCGAAACCTTAGCTCATTTTACGAAACTATGAAAGGTTCGATACATGATGTACGAAGCCGCAAACCACTTTACGGAACTTGCAAAGAGTTCCGTCGCAGAATAGCCGAACCATGTAAAATCTACCGAACTTAAAAAGGTTCCGAAAGAGAACCTCGAATCCATTTGCACTCTACGGAACTTAAAAGGGTTCGGTGCAAAAATGCGGAATTTTTAAGGTTCCGTAAAAAACCTTTTTTTTTTAGAGTGTATGATGCGGATAATGTGCTAAGGTGCTGGGGATTCCAAATCTGCACTTTCCCCCTTAGAAAAGACTGTTATTGAAACTTTTCAGATCAGAGCTGGGAAAGACACGGCACCTTCCTAGCTAGTAGATGCACTATAAGTACAAGTCTTGTATCTGTCGATGCAGGTTGCAGTGATTTATGAAGGTAATGTGCTTCTTTTGTAGAACAATTTGATTTTATAATAAATGGATTCCTCAATTGCCAACATAGGACATGGAAAGAGAGAGGTCACTTTCTATGATATTATTCAAATGTGCAAGATCGACTAGCGAATGATCCACAAAGTATATAGCGATTTAGCCTGTGTTTCGAACGAAAGCACTTCGTAGTCAAAAAAGCTGTTCTTATGGATAATCGACAGTAAGCATGGTTTTGAGATTTAAAATGAATGTTGATGGAACGAGCAAAAGATCAACAGCTTTTTCATTACGATGAAGTCAGCGTTCAATGTCAAATTTTAATTAAATTTATTCTATAGAATCCTAGTCTTCGAGCAAAGTCATACTTTTTGAGTTGAGTCTAACATGTATCTGACACATGGATTTGCATAGTAATGACGTGTAAAAAGTTTTAGAACTTTTCGACAAAATCTCTGCCAAGTAGAAATGCTTCAGCCAATACAATCTTGATAATACTAACCGAAAAGCACAATGATATGTCACTATGTGAGTTCAACTACTCTAAGATAAAACTCAAACATAGGATTAGATGAAAATTTTCAGATTGACAACTCTCATCATATGTTATATTTTAAAATTACTTTTATTCTAGTGCTGGATAATTTTTCTGATGAATTCCAAATTGTCATGAGAACATTTCAAGCAACGATTTTATATACGGAACTAGTAAACTACCGTAGCTGACGAGAAAAGTCTTGCCTATTCAATGTTGACTTGATGAGACTTAACACATTCCGTTTGCATACCAATCATTTGGTTTCATCGAAATCGAAGTATTGATTTCAGCAATAATGATGTACATTCATTCAAATCGTATGTGAGGCTCTAATATAGGAAATTTTTAATACTGTTTCAACAACTATTTAAGATGAATTCAATTGAACATGGAAACGATTAGAGAATACCTTTATCATTATTTCGCCAGCAGGTACTGTGATTATTTTCGGCGATGGGATATTTTACGAAATTGTTCTCGATGAGTGCATTGTCAATTGATTGATGACTTTAAGAACCTCCATGTTCAGTCGAGTTCTTTTTTCCTGAATAGGTGCGAAGAGCTAAATGCTTATCTGCTACTCTACAGTGCTATCAGTTACAAGCCATAGTTTCATCATAATTATCATTATATCATGGAGTAGTAGAAAAGTCGAAAGACAGCTACTAATGGAAAAGTTACCTGAATTCACTTTAATAAGGGCTCATGCCACTAAATCAAGTCAAACAGTTTTGAAGAAGTCGAACTTAATCGAGATTATGCCGTTATGAGTATGTAAATGCAAGTTTATTTGCCAATGAATGCTATGTGCATGCTTTCAAACTGAATCAGGAGCGAAATAGCAGACCAATGGTTCAACTCTCAGTTTTCCCTGTGAGAATGCGTGATCAAGAAAAGTCAGATATAGCAACGAA